TGAGACGGATCGGCTATTCTCACCTCTGTTCCATCGGGTATTTTTGTTACCTTATCCCATCCCCATACCCTTTTAAAGCGGGACGGGGGTGGGTCCCCTGCCCCATTTATTTATTATTTTTTTTTGTTTTTTTTTACGTCTTTACTTAGTAAATATTATTACTTTTTACAAATTTGTTAGAAACAACTTATGTTCTCTTTAAAAATATGATAAATATATTATTTTTGTTTGATAAAAAATATAAATTTAAAACTAACTTTAAACGGGACGAGGCAAGGACAATGATTCTCGTACCCGCTTCGGGGCAATGATTCTCGCCCCATTCCACCCTGTTTACCCGATTAGGTGGGTAATCCCGGTCTCATTCGTGGTGGGCCCCATGGGTTTCGGGTTGAACGTATTTTTTTTACATCTCTAATTGGAACATAACAAAAAAAAAAAAAAAAAGATCAACCAGAAGCTGCCAGCGCAGCCCTTGTTGGCATTCTAGCAGGAATTCCCCTGTACAAGGGGAATTGCTGAAGCAATTTTTAAAGAGAACGGCACTATAGGTACAAGAAAAAACAACAGAAAATCAACTGAAATTGCACTTGGAAGGTTTTCATTGGAAGAAGAAAAAAAAAGCAAACAAGGGTGCTGTTAAAATTCTGTATAAAAATCATGTACACACTTTTTCTATATTGAGTTGTGCTAAAGACCTGGCACAGCCATGTGAGATAGGGTGGGTGGGTGTTTTAACATTTTTGGGGGGTTTTTTTAATGAGTTAGGTCCTCGAGACCCACCTCATGTGAGATAGTCTGTACAAAATCTGTGAACCAAAATCTGGTAGAGTAGAATAATTCTTCTATATTTGTAGCATAACTGATTTTTAAAATACTTTTTTGAAGAAGAATAGTCAAAAAAAGCGTGTTTAACCAAGGAAAACATGCTATAAATATGTAATTGATACACAATAGTGCAATCATGTATTTTAGTCCATATGCAATTCTTGGTGATCATCCAAGTCAAATTCATGAAATCAAAAAGAAATATTTGTAAAATTACGGTCTCAACTCTCATCCCCATGCAATGCAAAATTTGGACGTAAAACAGAAATTAAATAAAGCCTTTAGTTTCTTACCTGTCAAGAATCTCCAAGTTCAAGTAGGGTTCCGGCGGAGCCTCTACTTCCGATTTGGTTCTGTTACTTCCACCAAAAAATGGTGCCATCAGCACGTAGCCCCGAACCTGGATCGGGTTCAACCCCGGTGAGCTGGGTCCAAGCTTCACCGCCAAATGGTGAGCTAGGTTCCCCCCTGAGGAGTCACCCACTATGAAAACCCGGTCAAAATCAACCCCATCTGATAACCATGGATCAGCACTGTTAGATAGAGCCTGAGTTTGTAGCCATTTAACCGCAGTGAGTGCGTCGTCCATGGCTGCCGGGAGGCGGTTCTCCGGCGCCAGGCGGTAGTCGGGGGAGACAACCACCGCGGGTAGAGCTGAAGAGAGACGGAGGCAGCTGTTGTGACAGTTGGGCCATGTGCGTGAACCAAGACAGAAGCCACCGCCGTGAAAGAAGTAAAGAATCGGTAGTTTGGCTGCTGCAACGGCGGAATTAGAAGCGGACCGCGGCTTGTAGAGGCGGAGGTAAAGATTGTGTTTCTTGTCGAATAGACAGTCTTTCCAAATAGCAGAGCCATCGTCATGAACTTTAATGGGGAAATCTGTAACCTGTTAATGGTAAAATCTCACTTCGATTACTCAATATATAAGATTTTGGAATGCTCATCTTAACAAGATTAATCGATATTACCTCGGACCGGGAAATGGAGCCATCGCTGTAAACTTGGACTATACCTAGACAGTCTTCCACAAGATGAGCAATTGAGCCCATTTCTCTCTCTGTGTGTGTAGAGGTGGGAGCGGGGAGGAGTTTCTTCTGGTGGAGAGGACGATTATCAGATGAGCAAAACGAAGCTATATAAATAGGCAGGAAATTAGGGGATATACAAGAGATAAATAAATGTTTCAAGGCTATTTTTGTAATATACCAGGCTAATGAAGACAAAAAGTTTTGACTACATACATTTTACTTGAATTTGTAAGGGAAATTGGTGCGACCAGTCCCAAACTTCTTATCAAATTGCAACATTTTGGTGCAAATGGTCATTTTGGACGGAATTCATGCAGATTGGGCCATTGGTTTTGTAAGTGCAATGCAATTTGATTGTCAATATTTTTCATGAAAACAAAATTTTTTTTCAGGGAAAGTATTTTTCTACTTTTGATCACGTTGCCATATTTTCTTTCAAAATAAAGAAAATATTTTCTTTAGAGAAATATGATTTTTATTTTTCCAAGTAATTCACCATCTTTTTTTTTTCTCTCTCTCGTTTATCCCCTCTCTCATATCTACTCATCAATAAAAAATAGACAAATATGATATTTTTTTGGTTAAAAATTAAATTAATCAAACATATTTAATTACAAATTCCATACAAATAAGTTCCATACAATTGAATTGTTTAGAATTTATTTTCTTTTCATACAAATTTCATACTTACAATCAAACGCACCTTATTTCAAGGAACAATTGCATCGAATTACTTTCTCCATTCAGAAAGCCCAAGAAAAACATAAATAAATAAAAAGTTCTCTTCTTCCCCACCCACTGCCACACTACACCGCCGCCAACAATGAACTATCTAAACATCTCTAAAAAAACACAATTTGCAATCCCAACTTTCGAGGAAAAACCGTATAATATTAGAGAATTGTAGTAGCCAAGTTGGAGGGCTATTCTACTTGTTTTTTTGCTCCAAGTACAGGAGTAAAACCTACGGGAGCCTGCCAAGTTACTCACACTGGCGGGCACATGTTTTAAAAAAAAAGAAAAAAATAACACCCCCTCCCCCCCTCTATTAGTGGCCTGGAAGTGAACCCACCCCCCTCGCCTGTAAGTGTATCATTGCTCATTTTACTTTCCTCAAGTTGAGGATGATTGCATGTTTCTTAAACATGACTTGCAGTTAAGTAAATGGATTTGCCTTGAAAAAACATTAAGGATGTTGCATGTTTCTTAAACATGATTTGCAGTTAAGCACGTGGAATATATAACTTTTTAACTTATTTTTCTTTCTTAATTCATTCCCGTACTTTTTAGTTCAATGTAGCAAACACCACAAAACATGAAGATAAAGTCACCGAAATGCGCGAATATGATAAAGGATAAATATTTCATATTTTCATGTGCACACATTCAACATTTTCATCAATCGCATGAAGGAAAATCATTTTTTTGTATCACATTTGTCCTATGCCTTGTTTGTCCCTCTCTTATTTTGTCCTAACTCCTATATTGTCCCTTTCTCTTATTTTGTCCTAACTCCTATAGGTTGACTTGACCTTTGTATTATTCTTCATTCAACCTAAGCCAATTATTTTTACAGTTATCTGCAGCCTTTTTCCAAATCTTTTCCTGCATATTCTCTTGGTCTGTTCCACATTCAATCCACATTTTGTTTCGTATCAGAGTTCGATTCGATAATACTGAACAACATTAACAATGGAAGAAGTTAAGTATACAGTCTAATATTCCTTATTTTTTCCGGAACTCCCATGTTCAAGATTTTCTCCTACTACAAAGCAGAACTAAGAAAATCATATACAGTAATTGCTAAAGACACGATACTATCTCACTGCATTCCAACAGTACGAAATTTAACACAGACTCGCGTCATTAGACGTAATTCTTCATGCTGATGTGGTAATTTTTGTGACAAAATAAACGTGCTCCAAAGTAGACATTAAACAGATGTCGAGCAGAATTTTTGCCGCTAAATAAAACATTGTGTTCTATTATGTAATTCACACGCATACTACAAAGTTATACCATGTAATGTTCGGAAAATCTCCAGTAACTCGACTGCTTGTAAAGAAAGTAAAAGATTGGTTGTAGCATCAGTGCCAGTTTAGTTACAGACAGACATTAGGTGGGATGAGCTTTCCTGGATTCATGATGCCGTTGGGATCTAATGCGTCTTTTATCCTTTCCATTATCCTCAAATTCTCGATTCCTAGTTCTTTCTCGAGATACTGGAATACATAGACAAAAGAATCAGAAAAAGATAATCAACCATCTTCCAAGTGACACTACTTGTTATTGAATTTTTAATCATGTCCGTTGACATGAAAACACTTTTATGAACAAAATCTCTTTAGGTCTGCACAAAACATGTCCTGAACATCTAACCATCCTTCCCTAAATGTCAAAAGATAGATGGGCTTTGTATATCTGCTGTTGTCTCTTTAAAGTCGTGTGTCAAAGTACTAAAACCCTGTTCTCTTTGTTGTTTTCATGCCATTTTCTGTTTAAGTTTTCCAAAATAGTGAAAACGCGTTCTCTTTTCCGTTTTAAAAACGAATTTTTGAAAACAAAAAAAAAAAAATTGCTTGAGCTAAAACACGGTAAAATCCCAAAACATGGAAAATGGTCCCCTCTTTCTCCATAACTGTGGTTAGAGAGCCAAGAGAAAAGCCGCCTTCTTCCTCGACAATCGACCACCACCAGCCACTGAGACCACCAGACCCCACTACCATTCGAACCCTCTCACCTCCATCTTCAACCTTTTGTCATCACCTGGCCATGGAGTTGTTGAAAATAGCCCTAATCACCACCCAAAACCGCGCTACTAGTCATAGTTTTAGCCATATTTCCACTGCTGTCGACCACCGTTTCGATCGCGGACCACCACCACTCCACTCCTCTCAATCAAACGCATCCAGTACCACCATGGGTCACCTGCAATTGGGATTTTTTTTGGTAACTATTTTCCTATTTTGTTTTGGAGATTTGACGATATTTGATTTTGTTCAAGATGGGATTAAGCGGTGATATGTAGGAGGTGGGGTTTATGCAAAAAAAATAGGATTTTTCTTTCAATTTGGAGCGAAATTGGATTGTGAACTTGGGCAAGTGAATTTGTGCCAATGATTGGATATTTGAAAGGGGCTCCAAATGGCAACAATTGAAATGGAAAATGTGGAATGTGTTCCTTCATCAGAAGGCATTGAAGATGAAGAGATCCAAAATGATAATAATCGGCATTCTTCAAAGCCTCATAATGTGGTGCTTTCTGGAATTTGCAGTGGCAGAGTCCATGAATTGCTTGAATGCCCTGTTTGCACCAATTCTATGTACCCACCAATCCATCAGGTCTCTCTCTCTCTCTCTCTCACTCTAATTTTTTGTGTTTTCCTTTGACGGGTCTTTTTAATTCATATGATACATAGCTTTATATTATTGTTTGGATGTAAGCTTAAATACATGTTGTGATTGTTATTTAGTTGTCAGGGAACTGGCAATGGAGTTTTGGCGGTATTACGAATTTCAAGGGCGGATTTTGATGAAAGGAGAAGGTGATTTCGGGCACTGTTTTAGTTCAACCGTGTTTAAGATCATTTGCATTTGAATTTGATTGTTGGGCTTTGACTATAGACGCTTAAGCTAAATGTTAGAATCGATGTTCTCTGATCCTTGAATGCAATGGACTAGCAATTTTTAGCTTTAAGTTGTTGATGCCAAATGGCAAAAGTTGCCCTAATTGATATATTGATAAGTTGGAAAAATATATATAAATGTCCTATAATGGATGCACGCTGTTTATCTATCAAAATATTACAGGCTGAGTTCCTCTCGGAAACTGAATAGCCCTAGTTGTGACTTGGCTATGGACATATATTAGTAGGGTACCCGTCGGGAAGGTAACTTTGATGAGAAAGTGAGTTGATGAGCAGAATTATAAATGTCCATGGTAAATACATCTCTGGTAATAGAAATAAGACATTTTGTAGTGGAATGCTCAAATCAACTCTCTATAGTTCATTATGAAAACTAATACGAGGAAACCTTCATCATTGATGTGAATCATATTGTGGAATCTGTAGTCCGGCCACTATAAGTGTATATTTTTTTCAACTTAGATGATCAATGATGGGACATTCCAAGCTTGATAACCTTCTATGATAATCCTTATGTTTTTGGTGAATTAAATTGGTGGACTTCTACATGTTAAGGGATAAACCCACGTTTATAAAGATGCAAACAATTAATAATTAAATTGGTGGACTTCATGGTCTAACTCTTCGTTGGCATTTGATGTTTGACATTATCTTATCAGTTTCCACATATATCCTTTTGTGTTATGCTCTTTTGCTGTAAAGAAGGAAAAATATTGCCCCCTTCCAAAACCACTGCTGGTATTCTCCTCCCAGAGAAGTCCTCCAAGGTATTGTTGAATTTATATGCCTATTGAGTTTTCTTTTACCGTTGAACTCTGGAAAAGTTGTGGCAGTTGGGCTGGGATCGCGTGACAAGGTTGGGAATACCAACCCAGTTGCTGTAAAGGAAGGCGACACTGTTCTTTTGCCTGAATATGGAGGCACCCAAGTCAAATTGGATGACAAAAGAGTGTGTTTTAATTAATCTCTATGTAGTTTGGGAATAGTTGTCTATTAATTGAAATGATAATTTTGTGCATTTGGGGTGTGGTACAGGTATCATTTGTATAGGGATGAAGATATCTTGGGGAACTCTTCATGATTGATGAATGATCAGCGTCAATTCAGGTCTAATGTGGACGGATTTATTTTCCTGTTTTCAGTGATTGAGTTGAGTTTAGGATTTTTAAGTGTTCTGATTATTGATGTACCGAACAGATTCTGCTCTTGAACTTTCAACCTAATGTGTAAGGAGCATTTTTCGATTTTTCCTGATCTACTACATTATTATTAAGTTTATGTTGTTGTGATCTTAATTCCAATAATATTCAGGGGTTTTGGAGATGATTTGTCTCAGAATTCGAAAGAGGAAGTATTTTCATAAAATGATCTTGAAATGGTTTTTGTGTGGGTGAATTGCGAATCAATTAGGATCATGAGCTTGTTCAATGCAAGCTCTTAATCCTCTTGTTAACTTTTTAACTTTCATCATCATTTTTGTTATTATCGTAAGTCATTCTTATATAGGCGTTATGTGGAATAGACTCTTTCAGCTTGACAAGAACGGCGTCACAAGGAAGGCTATAGGGACGAGCTTGAGTTGAATTAATTTTTTTTTATACTGGGCTGTATGTAAAAAGAAAAAAAATTAATCTCAAATCTGCCAAACTACCTTGAAAGATGTTTTTGTATTTATATATTTCATTATGTGTTAATATTTACAATGGAAGCAAAACAANCATACATGACTCCGTGAATTTATTTTGTATGTTGTTCAGTATCTGTTTATTTTGTCATGTCATGTAAACTTCTAATCGTATCGATTGAACTGTTTTATCAAATGTAATTTAGATTGTGTTTTTTATATCTGAAAAAAACATTTGACATTTCACAAATTTCAAAATTTATATGTTATTTAATACTATATTAACATTAAACCATTAAAAATTATTAAATAATCTGATTTTTTTGAATAAAATATTATTAAAAAAATTCTCAAAATTTCAAAGTAAACGAATTTTCCATTTTTATATTTTGAGAAACAGTTTTTCAGAATGACAAAAATAACGCATTTTCAACAATTTCAAAACACACTCAAAACCCAAAATACAAAATGAATTCAAAACTCAAAACTGAAACACAAAGAGAACAGCCCCTAAATATTTCAGTATATTTAATGATACCTTCATTTTCCCTGTGCCGACGCCATGTTCTCCAGTACATGTTCCTTCTCAGTCATGGTATCAAACGATTAGAAAACGTCAGAATGGAATATCTTTTTCTCAACACGATTCCACACCATGTATAACACAATTCCACAACTTAAAACATATATGTAAAAGTCAGTCCAGGAGTTGGAAGAGTAACTCAAGAATATAGTCCTATCATCAATTTTGGCGTTTAGATGTCAAAAATTGTGTTTTGTTAAAAGAGTGATTTTTTTCTTTTTTAAACCTAGAAGAACGGAAAAGATGCCAGTCAATTTACTGTATAATCGTGGATGTAACACTAATTCACCGTGAATGAACTGGTAAGCAATTGGCCCATCATTGAAAATATAATTCTTCTTATCAAAAGGTTGACAGATTTATACCATAAACTAACATAATCCGTCGCGCATCAGAGAGACCGATATTCAAAAACTTCAACCAAGAGAAAATGGTAAACTAGTTTGCTACAGCTGACAAAACTGGGTTGTTCGCTAAAGCAAACCGTAAGAAATACATCGGTATCACATGCTACCACGAGAAGCTAACATGGCTGCATATTGGTGTGCAAATGGAAGGCTGCAAATTAAGAGCAAGTCAGTGGTAGAAGTAACTCATGACTCATACAGATAGATATAAGGGCTATCCTAACACCGATAAGCTTGGCCTTCCATATTTAAGAATCCCTAAAATCTAAAAACTAAAAAGAAAGCTTAAATTAGGGGATTTCTAGTTCAGTAGCTTAGCGGCAGAATATTTGCATGCTTAGACTAGGCTCCACTAATGTAAGCTAGCATAGAATAAATGTAGGTAAGCTAAGAATAGGATCCAAATGTGTAAGGGGAGTAGTACTCCCTTGTTTAAATTTCGTAAGTTCTTTCTGGTATCCTTCTTAGGAGGTAAGGCCCAATGTCCCCCTCCAGTACTTCATTTTATATTAATAAACGGGTAAGGAACCATGTCAAACCCCACATTACACTATTGGATGGGAACCAAGAAACTCCTATCCCAGCAGAAGTGTTTTACTTTTAAAAAATGAAATAAAAGAACATTGGTATTACGTGCTAGCGAGTATGTAAGTGGAAGTAAGCTCATTTTCAACATCATTAGTGTAGATAACATGATTAATAAAGGACTGGGCAGTATATGAGAAGACTTCATTAGTCTGGAAGGAATATCAATAATAGAAATTTCTGGCTGAGAAAAAAATGGAGTTTGCTTAAGTAGCTTGTGTAATACCTTCCATGGCTAAAGCTGTATGCACCATGAAGTTGTTTAATCTCTCAGCTTCCTTCCTTTGTTCCTCTTGGTCGGGATCAAATAGAATCACAGTGGAAGTTTCCATCACCAGCATGAGCAAGGACGGTGCTGTGAAAGCATATGTGATGTAAGAGCATAAGAAAAGCAAGGCCTAGAAACATGGCTTACTAACTCCCAACGGTTGTCTACATGTATAAATACTATACCATACTAAAGATGAGAACCCAGCTCTTGCTTGGATCTTGATATTAATTCTGCAAGACGTGATAAGCGGAACACACACATCCTGCGTGATAACAAAATATATCAGATTTTTCAAGTTCACCGAGCGGCCAGAAACCAACTTATTATGGCTCGTTAAGAGCAAAAAAGATCCATGAATTATTTGAAATCTAAAATGCTAAGAAGCATGAAATAGCCAGACAGAGATAAATCAAAGTGAGAAGAGAAGAGAGGGATTACCAAAACTACCACATCCAAAACCTAAAACTTTCATGCTTCACCTGGACATGCACATTAATAGTTTTTAGCCTAAAAATAAGGAATGTCCAATATAAAGAGAAAAACTCACTGTTATCATTGCTTCAAAATTTGGTTCCTTTGCAAAGCACGCCCAAAGTGCCTCCTTTCTTATCTACTTGTAAAAACAAATTTGAAGAAATTAGCTAAACTAGATAAAAAGAAAAGCATCAAAATAAATGTTTATCATTTGCATCATCTTTTATTCAAAGCTTCTTAGATCCCCTCAGGATCAAATCAATTTTCATGGGAGGAAACACAAAAGGTAAAAAGCATTTTGGCAGATGTAGAACACAAGATAAATTGATTGAGCGAGGAACAAACTAGTCAAAAAACTGGTAATTTGAAACTAAGTTGGGATCCCTGCTATGGGCTGATGTTTCAAATGAATCTAACCTACATTTGCAATGAAAACCCGTATTGCATGCATGTCTTCTTCATACTCGCCAAAATAAGCAAAAACATTCATAAATATTTACCAAACAGTTTAGAACTCCAAATATTGAAAATCAGAGAATTAATGAAGAAAGATGATTAAAAAGCTATTTATCATCTCCAGTATTAGAGAGAAAACGGAAGCAGAAGGTATTGAGTCTTAAGGGAGAAAATGCAACAACATCGTAAAGGGAAAATAAAATATTGTGCACGCATTAGCTCGTGATGTTAAAACACGTACCTTCCAAAGTTCCTTTTTTGCTTCGGGATCTTCTGCAAACACAAAATCAGAGCCATTGTGCTCTGAAGCTATCTTCTGAACTATAAGTGTTTGTTCACGTGCATATGATTCTGGTGGACATTGAACACAAAACGAGTTGGAAATTGTCAAAAAAATTGAAAATTTCCAAACTAAAAATACTCTAGTATTGAAGTATAAAGGTCATTTAAATGACCCAAAGAGTTGATGATTTAAAAGAAAATATGTAGCACTATTATGAGTGTTAGTACCAGTAAGTCAAAATGTTCTTGCTAAATTTAATCCCACTAAGTTAGTACCAGTATGTCAAAATGTTCTTGCTAAATTTAATCCAACTAAGCACCATTATGAACAAATTAGTCTGAATTTAATTTTTTTAGATCACAGGAAGTCAACTGGTTCAAATAAATAGCTTATGCTCACATTGTAGCTGATTCCTGTTTTTAACTGTAGTACATAAGTATACACTCAGCTTATGAGATGATATGCACAATCCAAATGGTTCTTTCTTTACCATTTTCAGTTTTCTGGTTATTTCATATTTCAGGCATCTCAATGCGCATAGGGTGGTACTGTCAAACAATGAGCCATATCCCATTTAAAAATGGCTTCTAGATGTTCAGATCCACAACTGATGGCATGAGATAACCAGAAAATGACGTCTAAAATAAAACCCAGGAGATCATAATTTCGTGACTTTGTTTGATTTGTCACTCTCTTGTTTTGTCAGCAGGGTTCATCTTCCAAGAAAGCATGTGAACTCGTGTTCTAATATTACGAAACTCCCCTCTCCATGTAAGTGATCCGCCAAACTAGGCACTTGATTATACTATGATGAAAGAAGAGTAGCCATATACCTATATGGGGGACAGGGCTAAAAACTAATTTTGGTCTATGGCTCCAAGGTCCACTCGCTTCCAAAGTTTAACGATTTTCCTGATTTTAGACTCAATGACCAAGTAATGAGGTTGGAAGGTTTTGTGCACCCACCATCACCTAGGAAACCCTAGGTCTCACAGTACTATCGTGGTGGTTCATATTTTATGTCCCGCGAGCACATAAGTAGCCCAATCTTAAATGGATCTAACGATCTCTTCTTCCCTTCTCCCTTTGCTAAGATATCTTGTATATAGCTTTCTCCAAATCCTTGTTTCCAAGATAACTCTAAACTTGTCACACGTTTCCACATGGGACTCCCAAATCACCCTCTTGGTTTCACGTTTACCAAACTTATAATTTTCAGAAGTCCCATATCTATATTTTGGTAAGTTTCAAAGACATTCCCTTTAATCTTCACTGCTATTTAAACCCTCTTTGTTCAATCACAGTGTTTCCTCTTCTTATTAGGTGATTTCTACCCTTATCTCTCCTGATACCCCATTTACTATGTTCTAAATGCAACTCGTCAATGTATTCCACATC